TCCTGCCTCAGCCTCCCGAGTAGCTGGGACTACAGGCGCCCGCCACCTCGCCTGGCTAGTTTTTTGTATTTTTTGGTAGAGACGGGGTTTCACCGAGTTTGCCAGGATGGTCTCGATCTCCTGACCTCGTGATCCGCCTGTCTTGGCCTCCCAAAGTGCTGGGATTACAGGCTTGAGCCACCGCGCCAGGCCTAGTAGTGTTTTATTTTGTTTGAAGTGAGACACTCACCCATGACACCATCAAATGGCTTTGAATATTCTGAGCGATTTATTCATGTTGTAACCCTTGGGTAACCCCCCAGGTCTTTTCAGTTTTAGTTTTACTCCAATTTGGAAAGCGGAATAGTTTCAATTTTGGGGGGGTGCAACTGTTTTCCGGCCAAGTCCTACCCTAACCCTAACCCTAATTCTAAGGCCAGGACAGCTAGTACTGTGCACTGTGCATAGCAGGCAGTTGTAGAACTGGGCTGAATCAGAAACAAAATTAGTAGCAACCGCTGGTTTAAGGTAAGAGATGCATTAACTGGACATGAATTCCATGTGTGCTGTGAGAGTTTGCCCCATGGCCAGTCCAGGGTTTAGGTCTTAGAAAATAGCTTTGCCCTGTTAAAAAACAAAAAACAAAAAACAAAGAGTGACTTCAAGACATACTCAGCTGTTTGGCTAAATTTCTGCAGGAGGAAATGTCTTCACAGCTGATCTTTTTTTTTTTTTTTGAGACGGAGTTTTGCTCTTATTAACCAAGCTGGAGTGCAATGACGCGATCTCGGCTTACTGTAACCTCCACTTCCCGGGCTCACTCGGTTCTCCTGCCTCAGCCTCCCGAGTAGCTGGGATTACAGGCGATCGCCACCACTCCTGGCTAATTTTTTTTTTTTTTTTTTTTTTTTTTTTTAGTAGAGACCGGGTTTTGCCATATTGGCGGGGCTGGTCTTGAAATCCTGGCCTCAGGGGATCCTCCCGCCTCGGCCTTCCCAAGTGCTGGGATTACAGGCGTGAGCCACAGCGACCCGCCAGATCCTAGAAAAAAAAATTTTTTTTTTTTTCGGGCGGAGTCTCGCTCTGTCGCCCAGGCTGGAGTGCGGTGGCCGGATCTCAGCTCACTGCAAGCTCCGCCTCCCGGGTTCACGCCATTCTCCTGCCTCAGCCTCCCGAGTAGCTGGGACTACAGGCGCCCGCCACAACGCCCGGCTAATTTTTTATATTTTTAGTAAAGACGGGGTTTCACCGTGTTAGCCAGGATGGTCTCGATTTCCTGACTTCGTGATCCGCCCGTCTCGGCCTCTCAAAGTGCTGGGATGACAGGCGTGAGCCACGTGCCCGGCCTATCCTAGAAAACTTTAAATGACACGCGTGGCTCACGTTTTATTTATACTGCACGTTGCTGCCTGAGACCATTGCCTCACTTTCCACAGCTCGGGCTGCTTGGTCAAAAGACCCGAGGCCGGGAAGGTTATGAAATCGGAAACTTTAATGATCATTTATTGTTTCAGTTTGTGAAATATATATGTGTGTGTATAAAACTTATAAATGGATATAATCTTATATACAAGGTTAAATGCGAATATCACCAGGCAGGTTCGTCCAGGTCTCAGTGCCGTGAGGAATGTCGCCTCAAAAGGCCTGCACCCCAAAACCTGTCACTCTGGTTTCATTCGGCCCAGTGTCTGATCGCCCTTCCTGTCACTCAAGACCTGAGGGGGCGGGGCCTGGAGCTCCATCCAGTCAGCGGCGCCAGCGTGAGAACTGTCCAATCAGGCGTGCAGCCAGAGAGGAAGGGGCGGCCCTGGGGATCTGGCGGGGCCTTTGTCTCCTTGCGGCCAACGGGGTGCTGGGCTCGCGTTTGCTGCCTCACGGAGATCCCCGTGACCGCTGCAGGCCCTGTCGCCCTGTGGCCTGCAGGTACTGCGAGATTTATAGGGAGGCCGGCGGGACACCCAAAAGCTGGGAAATGGTGAGTGTGCGGGGCAGGGTGTCCCGAGAAGGGAGAGGGGTCTGACTGGAATCGGTCGGAATTGGCTGGAACCAGCGCTGGCGACCCCCGGCCTCCCCGCGGTGGGCTCCGGAGTGCGCGGCCCTCAG